TGGAATCCATTCTTCCAATGCATCTCGTTTATACTTAGGTTTGATGATGTATTTTAGAGCATTTAAAAGAGTTAGAAGTTGATATGACACCTCATGTATAAGAGAATGGTTGAAGCTATCCAAGTACGCTTTTGATAGATCAAGGTCAACCCAAAACTAAGAAGTAGAACTCACTCCACATTTGAACAAACCAAAAAGGGCAAGATAAAGTTTTAAACTTATTAGTTAATGCATCATGAAGTCCTACATATGCATAGGCAAAGAGAATTAGATCCATAGTGACTCGTCCTATCCCATCGAGTGAAGCCAAGTGGATAGCCCAAGGTAGGAAGACTTTAGTTGGTTTTTTCAACTTTAAGCTAATGATACATTTACAAATCCATAGTAAAAATCGATCTCCTCATCATGAGATATTTATATCCCCTTTCCATAGTGGTTAAGTAGGTATCCATAAGCTTTAAGGAGTCTATTTTCTTAAGCCTAGAGGTTGTTTCCGTTCGCCCTAAAAACCAAAGTTTGGCATGATATCGAGTAGAGTCATCGATATATGTCCTTTTAGAAATTGAAATTGATTGATACAAGGATTCCAAAAAGCAACCATTATTGTCACTAGACCGGGGCTCGTTGTATAAGGATGAGTCGATATAAGAATAACTTCATGACTTCCTATCACATTCCATTTCTTGCCCAATTATTGGAGAAGTCTTTTCTTAACATCTTCATACTTAGTATCTAGTTTTGACTAAACAATAGGAAAAGCATTGGTAGAATGAGTCTAATTTTGAAGAGTTTGGTAGAGTTTAGGAAAAAAGATTATACTAGTATCACAAGTTTTTGATAAAGCCGTATCGATCATCTCCGCGAGGTGAACAACTTCGATATTAATAGTAGGACCCAACATCGGATAAGAGCTCTTCTTTGGATTCCTTTTATGCCTAATCACAACATCAACAATTGCATTGCTAGTAATAGTTTGAAAGAGGCATGTGCTAATTGCACTAAGTTGCTTAAAGAGTTCATTTAGTCAATAGTAGTCTCTGCAGAGGGTAACTTTATCTTAAACGATCTTCTTTGAGGACTTAGTGTTTCTTTTTGAAACCATTTTTATAAATGAAACAAATGAAAAAGGAATTTAACAAAAAGCGAAGAGATGTTCAACGGAATATCAAAAAGAAAGCATAGGTTTTTTGTATCTTGTAAAGTTTTAGCAGAAGAAGAAATCTCGGTAAGGGCAAAAACTTTGAAAATCACCTTCCTTTTTATATGAGATATTTTAAGATTCATGATGGTTAAGCTTTAAGGATCAATGTTTTAGATATGGTCAAAAAATAATTTTTTGTTAGGTAATCGAGGTATTAAAGTGTTTACGACTAACCATTTAAGAGATAAAACATTGTGCAATCTCATCACATCTATCGGCATTTAATACTTTGCCAATTAGAGAAAGAAATTTTTATTATTTCATCTCTAAAGGGATAAATGAAAGGCATGTGTTAGCACCTCAAAAATTAAAAAGACACACATCCCTCAAGTATAGTATCCTTTTACGGTAATATAATGAGACTTAAATGAAATGGTGCATTTGATCTTATAAGTAACTAAGCTCGACAAATAGCAAGACTTAAATGAAATGGTACATTTTGGTCATATAAACAACCAAGCTTGATGAAAGAACAAGACTTAAATGAAATGGTACATTTGATCTTGTAACCAACCAAATTCAACAAAGCAGCATGTTCAAAGGAATTGAAAGAACGAGTTACCAATAACTATTTCTACCTAGCTTCAAACCTAAGGCGAGTTATCGATCACGAGTATAAGTTATTTTAAAAAGAGAAACTAACGGACAAGGATGACAATCAATACATAAGATTTTTCAACACAAACTTATTCCATTTTTGTAGTTTATTTTGTAACGGTTAGCTTTTACATTCCCATAAATAGTTCGATAACCGTTACTATTTTCCTTCTTGCTTTTAGTAGATAATATTTATTACTTTCAATAGTTTCAATAATGTAACCTAGAGGGTGTTGATCCGTCCCCAATTGTGGTCAAATGGCTTCGAGTATCGTGATAGCTACTAATATAAATATCATATCTTTCGATTTATGATATTTATACTTTTTTAATAAGTTTTATCTTTTTTTATTGATGAAATTCTCTCTATCTCTCAAGTTTTATTTCTTTTGATTAATAAAATTCCTTTTATTTCATCTTTTTTCTTTAAATTAAGTACCCTACAAAAAGTTCTAGTGGCTTATTATGCGAAATCAAACTCCATATTGCTTTATCATGAAGTTCTCAATCATAAATTAGAGCATCGACTTACTTTGCTTCGAGATCGAATTCGGTGAGTAGCAACAATGTCAAAGCATAAAAGTTCACTTTTTGTCGGAAAAACACCTAGTATGCATGTAATATTTCACCTAAATAACTATTATCGAACCATACCATACTTTGACCCAATAAAGGTGGCTAGAGGTTATTTCTTCAACTAAATAGTTAGGTCACTCATATGACATGAATTATTAATATAGCTAGTATAAATATATTTATTGTAACACCAATACATAAAAGGCCTAATGGCCTAGTTGTAATGTGTGCGCCCATAAGTAGAAGCTCGGGGTTGACTCCAAACACCATAATGCATTTTTCAACTATTTTCCTTCAAAGTGGATGACATATCTCATATGCTAGACAAAGTGAATGACATGTTTCCTTGAGCCAAAATGAATTACATGTCTCCTAATTCAAATTGAATAACATGTCTCCCTCTAAAATGGATGACATATCGCTTATGCTAGACAAAGTGAATGACATGTTTTCTTGAGTCAAAATGAATTGCATGTCTCCTAATTTAAAGTGAATAACATGTCTTTTCGAAGGATGATTTGTTAACTATGTTGAGCTAGTCTAACCAACAAGATCATCAATTTGGTTTATTTAGAGTTTGATCGAATCCATCGTTTAAATCATTAGTTTAGTTTGTTTAAGGTTTGATCAAATTTATTATCAAAATTATCTAATTCTAAAATCGGATAGACTTAGTGGTTGGTTCACTAGGTCAAACGAGCTAGTTGGATTCGATAGCTCTGTCAATTATCATTAAAAAAACAACCAAACTATATGAGCTGAAGAAAAGAAGATCAACCTATATGAGAATACTACTAATACGGGATCATTATATTTTAAATATATCAACTTTCAACTTTTTCTCAATCGAGTATATGAATTTTAATTTTTTTTGTTTGAGTATACAAGCTTTTTAAAATTATCAATCAAGTACTTCTATCAATTTTTCTTTTAATTGAAAATGTGTCCATTACCCTCAAAATACCAAATTATAAATTTACTTTTTTTCTCAATCAAGTACATGAATTTTTATTTATTTATTTTTGTTTGAGTATATAAATTTTTTTTCAAAACTACCAATCAAGTACTTTCATCAATTTTTTTGTTAATTAATGACATAATTGAATACAAAATTATAATTTTACCTCTTTTTGTTGAAAGAAACTTTCTCTCTAAATTATTTTAGCATTTTCAAATTTAAAAAATAAAAAAATTATATTTTATCTATGAATTCCAAACTAAATTCAGTTAGATTGCTATTAAAAAAAATTAGTTAGGTTTAAGAGTAAAAATTAAAGAGAAAAATAAATGATTCTTGATGAAAAATCTCATGTTTGTGTTGTCTTTAAATTTCAAGTCCAAAACCTAACTCATTTTTTTTTAATAGTAAGTCTAACTAAGTTTAGTTGGAGATTTTGTAGCTAAAATAACTTTTTTTAATTCTTCTCAAATTTTAAAAAGATAGAATAATTTAAAGAAAAAGCTTCTTACAACAAAAGAGGAAAAAATATAAGTTGGCATTCGGACACTTCATCAATTAATGGAGAAATTGATAGAAATACTTAATTGATAATTTAAAAAAAAATGATATACTCAATCCAAAAAAAAAAAGTTCATGTACTACATTAAGAAAAAATGACAAAATTGTAATTTGATACTTTAAGTATAACGGACACGTCATCGGTTAACGAGAAAAAATGACAAAAGTGTTGAATTAGTAGTTTTAAAAAAATTAGTGTAGTTAAAAAAAATTAAAATTTATACTCTTCATCGAGAAAAGATTGAAATTTGGTATACTTATAGTATAATTATCCTTACTAATACCAATTGAGCTATCATTTTCATGTATTGAAATTAAATTTCTCTCAAATCGATTTAAATAAGTAATTCACATTTACATCGGTCTATTCACAAGAAATTAGTTCTCTTAATTACCGTAACCCATTTAGCTAGGGTTCAAACAATGGATCATAACGTGGGAATAATTCACTTACCAATCACACAAAACCTCCAAATCTAGCGAAATGCTCTCTACATAAAGCTCTTTGCACATGCTTTTTATTTTGAAAAAAAAAAAAACTCTCAAAATCACCGCAATGGTCGCACTTCATCTCTTCTTGCCCCATTTACGCCTCGTAACACAACGTAGCCCCAAATATCCAATACGCGGGTAACTTCGCAGCTCCATTGTTCTCTATGGCCACAAAATTTGAATATATCAAATGAAAGGAAGTCGACTAATTATCAGCAAACCACATGGAGTAACAACTTTCTGCGAGTCTCTAAATACTGTTTACTCGGTAACTAAACATGCAACTTAATGATTATTGCATTATATATATGATTAATTAATCATGACATATGCCATCCAAATTTTCCTTTTCCTTTGCTTCTAATCATTTCATGGATGTGCTTGCCTAGGATGAAATATATAAAGAGAAGGCAATGAAGCTAGAAGAGGAGGTTAGGTCCATGATTAACATACTTGAAATGATCGATGACATCTAAAGTTTAGGGTTGGGCCACCGTTTCAAATGGGACGTAAAGAATAAACTTGAAAAATTTTTCTTGTTAGAAGGATCCGATTTCAAAATTATAGGGAAATGCGTCCATGCTATCGCTCCGACCTTCGAGCTCTTCGAGCAACATGGCTATGAAGTCTCTCAAGGTATATTCTCATGCTCGTAGAATATTTTAATTTGTTCTAGACATTTTTCTTATGGACCATCATGATTTGATGAAATCAAATGTTTATATGATCGATGGATATTTTTTAGGGTTTTTTAGATGATCAAGGAAATTTCATCGCCAACATTCACAAGGATATCAAAGGAATGCTTAGTTTGTATGAAGCTTCACATCTTGACTATGAAGGAGAAGAAATTTTAGACATGGCAAGGAAACAAACTAGCATGTACTTAAAACATCATCTAGGAAACTTAGACTCAGTAATCGTTGAAAGAGTCGGTCATGCTCTGGAGGTTCCATTGTATCACAAAATGATTATGCTTGAAGCACGATGGTAATCTTATAGTAAAAGAGAGGATGCAAATCCCATACTTCTCGAACCGTCCAAGTTGGATTTCAACATGGTGCAATCGGTATTGCAAAGAGATCTCCAGGACATGTCAAGGTATGACTAAAACCAACTAATTAATAAAGAAATTAATCAAGTTGAGCTTTAGCGAGAGACAAACTAATGATTTCCTGGCTCGCAACATTATTGCTTTAGTTGTTTACGTGCCTAATTCCACGGTGTCAATGATGACGGTGGTGGCATGATTTGGGCTTGGTGAACAAGTTGAACTTTAGCAGAGACGGACTAATGGAATGCCTTTTTTGGATCGTTGGAATGGCCTTCAAACCCAAATTTAGCTCATGCCGCAAAGGACTAACAAAAGTTAAATCATTTATAACCACAATTGATGATGTCTATGATGTTTATGGTACTTCGGATGAATTGAAACTATTCACGGAGGCTATTGAAAGGTTTATATTGGCGGTATATATAATAATCAATTCATTGTTTTCACATTTTCCCGATTACTAATGATCTTGTTCAAAGATTTCAATTGTTTTTCATCGGATGGGATGTCGGCTTGATAAATGAAGAAAAATGTTTGTATATTTTTTGCTCACTTTGCAAAGACGAAGAAGTGCCTATTTATAGACAAGTATAGTTGGTTATTGTTGTTACGACTCGATAGTAGAAACATCTAGAAGCAAGATGTTAGCCTCACGAGAGAGATGTTTCAAGAAATAACAAAGCGATTTTAAACTACTGCGAGAAAAAAAGGAGAGCATTTGCGGGGAAGGAATCTTTTTCGTTTGAGCGGTCGGGAAGAGAAGATGAATGTTGGGCCGAGCTCCGGAAGACCAAAAATTGGACTATTTCCTTTCTTGGCCCGGTTTGTCTTGTGTGAGCCCATGTGTGGCTTTTTCATGTTGTAGCCCATCTATTTGAATTTTGCTTTGGCTCCTGTCATTTATCACGCCCCGCAAGTCGGAGAGTATACATCGTGTACTCCCGGCTTGGCCAACATGGTACGAAAGAGGGGTTTGGGGAGAGCTTTTGTGAATATGTCGACAAGCCGACCTTGAGAGGAAGCTGGAAGCGAGATGGAGGATCCCAACTTTAATCTTTTCACGAACAATATGACGATCAATTTCGATATGCTTGGTTCGTTCGTGAAAGATTGGATTTTCGGCAATGTAGATGGCTGATTTGTTGTCACGAGTAAAGGTAGGAAGGCTGGGTATGTGGGATACCAAGGTCTTGAAGAAGGTAGAGCGACCATTGGAGCGCGTAAGTAGTGGAGGCTAGAGCTCGTACTCGGCTCGGATGAGCTTTTAGAGTGGTGGCTTGCTTTTTGGACTTCCATGAGATCAAGGAGGATCCAAGAAAGATATAAAACCATGTGATCGATTTTCAAGAATGCGGGCGGGTGGCCCAATCGGAATCGAGAAAGCTCGGAGCCGAGATGAAGAATTCTTGTGAAAGAGGAGACCTTGTCCGGGTGAGCTTTTTAGATAACGCAAGATATGATGAATGGCTCGTATATGGAATGTTGTTGGTTTATCTAGATATTGGGAAAGTTGTTGAACGGGGAAGTCGATATCGAGTCTTGTGGTTGTCGGGTAAAGAAGTTTGCCAATGAGACGACGGTAAAGAGTGATATCGGAAAATGGTTCCCCAACTGCAGGTGATTCGTGTAGTAGGTGACATAGGAGTGGAAAGAGGTTTGGAATGCGGAAAACCGGTTCTTGAAGCAAGTCGAGGGTGTACTTTCTTTGAGAGAGATTAATGCCAGCGAGAGGATCCGGCCGGTTCAAGACCCGGGAAAAACTTAGCTTGACCGAGATCCTTGATCTTGAATGTATCATCAAGGTATTTCTTGGTGTGGTTGATGAGGGAGATAGCATTGCCGGCCAACGGAACATCATCAACATAGACTATGAGTATGATGAAACCGGAGGCACGACACTTGATGAACATAGAGGGTCCGAATTGGACCGATCGAAGCCATCGGAGAGAAGGGCGGAGGAGAGCTTAGCATACCATTGTTTGCTAGCTCGCTCGAGCCCATAGAGGCTCTTCTTGATACGACAAATAAGATCGGGATGAGGCGGAGGTAGACCGGGAGGAGGTCGCATGTAGACTTCTTCATGAAGATCACCATGAAGGAAGGCATTATTGATGTCTAACTAATGGAGATGCCGGTTTGGGAGGCGATCGGGGCTAACAAAGCACGAATTGTGGTAGGCTTAGCAACCGGAGAAAATGTTTCGTGTAGTCAAGGCCAGCCTGCTGAGTGAAACCCTTGGCAACCAAGCGACCTTTACATCATTGCAAGGTGCCATTGGCATTGAATTTGAGTCGATAGACCCATTTGCAGGAAATGGCGGTCTTCCCGAGTGGAAGAAATGTAAGTTCCCAAGTGTCATTTTCTTGTAAAGCATTTAATTCTGCTTGTGTGGCGTCGATCCACTCTTGATGTTGCATAGCTTGTTTGTAAGTTTTTGGTTCAGTGAATGATGTGAGGGTAGTGAAGAAGGTGTAATGTGTGGGAGAAAGATTGTGATAGGAGAGAACGTGGGAGAGGGTGTGTGGGGAGGTATGATTAATGGTAGGACATTCATAGTTATAAAGGTGAGAATGAGGTTTGGATGTTCGGTGGAGCGCCGAGGTGGAGGTTGTTGTGAGAGAGAAGTTGGTGGTGATGGGGGAGGGGTGGTAATGGAGTCATAGGGAGGGGTAGGATGTATGAGGGGCGGAATGGGAGTGGGGATGGTGGTCTCCGGTGGTAAGTGTTGGAAGGGGAAATGATTTTCATAAAAAATCAAATCTCCGGATAGGAATGATTCCTGTGAGTCTAGATTAAAGACTTTGTAACCTTTTGTACTCGTAGAAAAACCAAGAAAAATACATCTTCCGGCTCTTGTGTCAAATTTGTCTACGAATGCTTGTTTTGTTGAAGCAAAACGGAGAGAGCCAAATACTTTCAAAGAAGACAAATCGGGGTTAGTTCTAAACATAACAAAATAAGGGGATTGTTGAGAGAGTATAGGAGAGGGTATGCGGTTGATGAGGAATACTACATGTAGAACACGGTACCGCCCAAAATTTGGTGGGGAGATTAGCTTGAATTTTTAATGCTCTAGCAACATTTAGTATGTGTTGATGTTTCCTTTCGACTCTTCCATTTTGTTGAGTTTCTATGCAATCGGTCTCATGGATAATTCCTTTTTCATGAAAAAAATCAGTCATAGAGAACTCTAGGCCTTGGTCACTTCGATACACTTGATGTGCTTGGTTGAACTGTCTTTCGAGCATAGGTAAAAAAATTTTTAATGTGTTGCCTAGTTTCGGATTTGGATTTCATCATGTATATCCAAGTCATTCTACTATGATCATCCACAATGGTTAGGAAGTAGCGATAGTCATGTAAAGAAGGAGTATGGTAAGGTCCCCAAATGTCAACGTGTATTAAATCAAAACAAGATTTTGTAAGGGAATTACCGAAGTTGAAAAGATGATCGTTTTTGTTTGGTGAAATGACAAACATCACATTGTGTAACATTATGGAAAGGAATACTAGGATGAATAGTAGATAACATTTGCAGTCTATTATTGGAGAGATGTCCTAGTCTTTGATTCCATAGGCTATGTTGTTGAGATGTGACACTCGCAGAGAGATGAAGAGTTGATAGGAGATGGTGGTGAAAGATAATATAAGCCGTTGGTTTGTCTAGCAAAACCAATCGTCTTCAAGGAGTGGAGATCCTGGATAATGCATGAATGAGAAGTGAAAGTTAGTTGGCGAGTGGGATGAATGTGTGAGTTTGCTAATGGAAATGAGATTGAAAGAAAAAGTTGGAATGTATAGAACATTGGTTAAAATAATAGATGAGATGTTAACTGTTCCTATATGTGTAACGGTATATATTGGCCATTGGGGAGCCTTACTCGTGACTTCCTTTATAGGCCCAAGATTGGAAAGTAAACGAAGATTGCAAACAATATGATCTATGGCACCGGAATCAAGGAGCCATGTGGATGACCATAGAGAAGAAAATGAAATAGGTGAGTTTATACCTTGACTCGTCATTGGAAACGGTGTTGATTTGAGAAGTGTGTGTTGGGCCATTCTTTGGTTCTGAATTTTGGTGTAACAAGTTCATCAATTGATCTGTATTGCTCTTGAGTGAGGGTGAAACCGAGTGTTTGTCGCATCGAGTTCTCGTGGTGGAAATGGAGACTGGTGTCTCATTTTCGAAGGCTGGAGCAAGGTGAGTTTCCACTTGATGAGTCGCTTTGAATCTTGCTTTGGTATAATCCCCGGATGAATGTTGATTTGTTCGAGGCATGGGTGAGAAGTTAGGTGGGAAGCCATGCTTCCTGTAACATTTGTCTTCCATGTGACCGGGGTTATTGGAGTAGGTGCATATGGGTTTTTTATTCTGTTGGAAGGGTCTTCCGGTGTCTATTTTGGCAAAGTAGGCTTGAGGTTCAAGGGAGTTGGTTTGGTATGAAATTTGGTGAGTGTTGTATAGTTGTCTTTCATGTTGTGCAACCATGGAAAAAACCTTTTTAATGTCACGGTAAAGGATCCATCAACATGATTTGAGATTTCACAGGTAAAGTAGGATTCATTGAGTCCTCTTAGAAACCTTATGACACAATCACTATCCCGGTATGATTTGACAATTTTGAGTGAATCACAAGTGCATTGTGGCTCACATTTGCATTTTGGAAGGGGTCTCAAGTTAAAAAACTCATCCCACAGCATTTTTAAATGAGTGTAATAGTCCGATATGTTGAGAGTACCTAGTCGAAAGTTATAGATTTCTTCTTGTAGGTCCGATATACGAAAGCGATCGCTCGAGAAAATCTTTCCTCTAAGTCCTTCCATACCTCCGAAGCCGAGTCTAACCATATTACACTCGAGTTATGGAGTTTGACAATGATCTCATCAACCAGGATAGGACCATTGTATTGCACCTCTCCCAATACACATAGCTTGGATCATCTTTGGGTGGCATGGCAATGGTGCCATCAATGAACTTCAATTTGTTTTTGGACAAGAGAGCCATTCTCATAGATCTGGACCGGGAATGGTAGTTTGCTCCACTCAAAGGAGAAGAGACTAAGATGAGAGCGGGGTTTTCATTTGGATGTAGGTAATAAGGGCTTGCTCGTTTCTTCTTCGGCCTTATGGTTGTATGATTTTGGTTTCCAGTAACATTTGCATAAGAAGTATTTCCTAACATGATGGAAGATTGAAAGGGAAAAAACATCAACACTCTAAAGAAAACGAGAGAAAAAGAAAAAAAGCTACGAAAGCTTAACGGAAGATTTGATTAAAGGAAGGTATTGCTCGATACTATGATAAATGGAGAAAAATGTTTGTATATTTTTTGCTCACTTTGCGAGAGACGAAGAAGTGCCTATTTATAGGCAAGTACGGTTGGTTATTATTGTTACGACTCGGTAGTAGAAACATCTAGAAGCAAGATGTTAGCCTCACGAGAGAGATGTTTCAAGAAATAACAAGCCGATTTTAAACTACTGCAGAAAAAAAGGAGAGCATTTGCGGGGAGGGAATCTTTTCCGTTTGAGCGGCTGGGAAGAGAAGATGAATGTTGGGCCGAGCTCCGGAAGACCAAAAATTGGACTATTTCCTTTCTTGGCCCGGTTTGTCTTGTGTGAGCCCATGTGTGGCATTTTCATGTTGTAGCCCATCTATTTGAATTTTGCTTTGGCTCCTGTTATTTATCACAGCTATATGAGAAATCTTGGAGACCACATGAAGTTATGCTTCTTAGCCGTTTACAACGCTGTTAATGAAATGGAATATGACCACTTTAAAGAACAAGGAGAAGATGCCCTTCCTTATCTGACAAAAGCAGTATGTTCATCTAATTTAATCATTTCTGTCTTGCTACCTCAACTCCATCAAAGTTTCAATTATATACTTAAATTCGGATACTATTATTGTTATTATTACAGTGGGCTGATTTATGCAAATCATTTTTACAAGAAGCAAAATGGAGCTACAACAAAATCACACCATCCTTCGATGAATATCTTGAAAATGCATGATGATCTGTGTCAGGAACTGTTATACTTATCCATGCCTATTTTCTTTTGGGAGACAACATCTCTGACTCCGAGCAGGCGCTTGATTACTTAGTAAACTACGATGAATTAGTGCATTGGCCAACCGTTATCTTTCGACTTTGGAATGATTTAGGGACTTCACCGGTACGTATAGTAGCCAGAAATACTCAATCATATACGTGCGATTTAGATTTGCTGAAGAAGGTGATATCCTAACATTCTTCCTGTGGTTAAATTTTCAGGCAGATTTAGCAAGAGGAGAAACAGCTAAATTCGTTTTCTTGGATTTGCTATCTGGTGCTCCATGGCCATCTCCATGCTGGTATGTGCTTTGGGCAATTCTAGCAAGAGTAGTGGCTGTTCCGACAAAACTTTTTGAATCGAGTACCCTCATTGGTAATTGAACCCATTTCATTAATCTAGAGATAATTATAAGCCTGTGTATTGGCATCCAATAGCTAATACGTCTATAACAGTGATAATGGCTCTCTGCGTTTCTTTTAGGGACACAAGTAGACATATTTCAGCAAAGCAAATGTGTATCTTGTAGTTTTTTTTTTTACACTAAAATATGTTCGAATCCCAATTACTTTAATTTATTTTGTTGTTATGTAATAAAAGAGCATTATCTCTCATTATGTATTCCAAAACTCTCTCGCTCACCTTCTTCTTAGTTCATCCTATTTATGGAAATATGAGGGATATTAAAATTTAATTAATATAGCTAAATTTAAATAGATAAATTAAATCTCATATATTGTTGTTTGTGGTGCGTTATTTAGGTAGGTTCGGTACTTAGTTTGGGAGTTTGGCTCTAATTAATTTCCGACTACTCTTTTTCTTTTAAATTCTTCACAATCAAAATAATAATTTCCTCCTATTTAGGTTATCTAAACTTTCTCCTCACATTTATAATTAAATAATGATCATGATCATGATCATGATTTTTTAAAAAAAATCTCAACATCTAAATTGTTTTACTAAATTCTTATAAATTTATTAGGTTGACGTGCGAAGTGTGTTTTAAAAATTATTTAAAAATAAATTTAATTTTAATTGATATATAAATTGATTCGATAATATTTTTACTGTCAAATTAAAAAAAAATATTATAGGACAAAAAAGTAATGAAAAAGAAAAAATATATATTACTATTATTAAACGTAAAGAGAGAGAGAGAGAAAATAGTTCTAGAATAACACAAACTAGTACTATTACCTGATATATTTTTTTATGGGATCAAAGCTGGACAATAAATAATCATGTCTATGGCAATACACAAAATTAAATAGATCATGTATCAGGTCCAAGCCGGATATTCTGGCAAGAACTACAAATGCCCGTTTAAGTTAATGGACCCGGTTTGGGTTGATTTACATCACACGCCGGCATGGTAGTTACAGAAATTTTAAGGGTGCAAAAATATCGGTGAACAGTCGATTAATTAATTTTATATGATGACTACTTATGATCCTGTTGAAACCTTATGCTTTACTGACTTGAGTGTTCCCACTTTAAAATATTGTCTGAATGTTCCTACTTCCTAGTCGTTATTTATTATTGCCTCCCGTTCTTTAATTAATCCATGTTATATCTCCTGTCCTATTGCTTTTTGCAACCAAAGCTCATAGTTTACTTTTTAAATCTTTGATGGTTAAGACTTGGGTTCCTATCTAATTTTCCAAAATATGAATTGTAATAACCCTAGTGTCCAAAATGCTATTAGTTTATCAGTTTTTTAGATTGATACAAAACACTTCATTATTTTAAATGAATGATCTAATCAATTTACGTAAATGAATGATCTGATCGATTTATGTGTATCAAGTCACCATTTTTCTTATATTATTGATAATCAGATATTCTCGAATCAATTTTTATTTTAATCAAAATTAAATCTTCACTTTTTAAACTACATCAACATTAAATAAATAATTGATATCTAGAGAGTTCACTAGCTCCTGGTTAGCCAATCAAAATATTTTAGGTGTACGGACATACAAATTTCACATTGTAAGAAGTCAAAAATGCTATTAGTTTATCAATTTTTTAGATTGATACAAAACACCTAATTATTTTAAATAAATAATCTAATCGTTTTCGTAGTAGGTCATAATCTTTATCAATTTTTTTCTTTTTTCTTATATTGTAGATAATTAGATGTTCTCGAATTAATTTTCATTTTAATTAAATGAATAATTAGTTGCAGAAATTTTAAGCATGCAAAAATATCGATGAACAGTCGATTAATTAATTTTATATGATGACTATTTATGACCTTGTTCAAACCTTAAACTTTAACTTTACTAACTGGACTGTTCCCGCTTTAAAATATTGTCTGAATGCTCGTCGTCATTATTTATTATTTCCTCCTGATCTTTAATTAATCCATATTATATCTGCTGGCCTATTGCTTTTTGCAACCAAAGCTCATAGTTTACTTTTTAAATCTTTGATGATTGAGACATGGCTTCCTATTTAATTTTCCAGAATATGAATTGTAATAACCCTCGTGTCCAAAATACTATTAGTTTATCTGTTTTTTGGATTGATACAAAACATTTCATTATTTTAAACGAACCATCTAATCGTTTCACGTGACAAAATACTATTAGTTTATCGGTTTTTTGAATTGATACAAAATATCTCATTATTTTAAATGAACGATCTAATCGTTTCACGTGACAGATCATTATCTTCATCAATTTTTTTCTATTTTTCATATTGTAAATAATCAAATATTCTCGAATCAACTTTCATTATTTTAATAAAAATTAAATCTTCACTTTTTAAACTACATCATCATTAAATAAATAAATGATATCTAGATAATAGGTGTACGTACATACAAATTGCACCTCATAAAAGTCAAACCAAACGTATATGATAATTGACTCAATACAAATTAAAAAAACGTGCACTAACCTGTTTTAATAATTGCCCAAAGGTTTATATATATAAATACCTTGATTAAAATGACGAATCATTCATCAGAGCTAGGTAGAGATAATTTAGGAGCATTACTGAAGCATCTTTGGGACCAAATTAGTAGTACTGCTGGTTAATTTCTAGCATCTTTGCAATGGCACTTAATCTCTTCATCAACTTACCTCACACAAAGTCCATGAATTGGAATGGCATGCCGAGTCATCCTCTGCGAAGAGCAGTCCATAGAACTCACATTAATTTGCGGTTCACTTGTTCTCTAAGCTTACAAAATTCCCATAAAGCAAGTGAAAGAAGATTGGCCAATTACCAACCAACAATTTGGAGTTACGATTTCTTGCAGTCTTTAAAGAATGATAATGCAGTGAGTACATGTTACATTACTTTCAGCTCATATTTCAATCGTTTTTTTTTTCCCTTCGATTTTTTGCACCTAGAAATTGGAATTATGTCTTTTGTTTCTTATATTTTGCTCGATGTGAATGTTATAGGACAAAATGTACAAAAGCAAGGCAAGGGAGCTAGAAGAGGATGTGAGATGCATTATTAGCAATGGAGATATGGAGTTATTAGCCATACTTGAAATGATTGATGACATCCAACGGTTAGGATTGGGACATCGGTTTGAAGAAGACATAAAGAGAAAACTTGATAGAATTTCTTCTTCAGAACAAAGTAACTTTGATGCAGATCAATCTCTCCATGCAACTGCTCTTTGCTTCAGGCTGCTGAGACAACATGGTTATGAGGTTTCTCAAGGTACGTTTGGAAACTAATGATTTGAGTTTGTAATTTTTGTTTGGAGGTTCTAATCTAGCTAACCTTAAGGGAATCATAAAATAAAAATAATTGTTATAAGCAAGGCAGACCTAGGATTCATAGATAAGAGAGGCAAATTAAGAGAAGTTTGAAGAAATATAGGGAAATGTCTAAAAAGTTAGAAGGTCAATTTGAACTATTAAAACTAATGAGGGCTAAAATGATTTTTTTTGAAAAAAATTGAAGGATTCAATTGAGAGTACCATAGATTATCGCAGGCTGCAATTATGTGAATTTTTTTTTTTTTTTTTTTTTTTGCCCACGAGTACAATAATCTGAGTGAAGTTTGCGTGATGCCCAGATGTATTTGAGAGTTTCGTAGATGATGATGGAAACGTCAAAGCTTGTGTTCACAAGGATATCAAAGGACTATTGAGTTTGTATGAAGCCACACACCTTGCCCATGAAGGAGAAAACCTCTTAGACAAGGCACTGGCACAGACGAGCATACATCTAAAAAATCTTCCGAGGAACATAGGGTACTTGGGCAATATAGAAGATGTTCATCATGCTTTGGAACTTCCCTTGAACCGTAGAATGCTTATGCTGGAAGCACGGCAGCATATTGAAGCATACAATAAGAAGGAGGATGCAAATCATAAGCTACTCGAACTTGCTAAATTGGATTTCAACATGGTGCAGTCGGTGCTCCTAAGAGATCTTCAAAACATGTCAAGGTATCCAATAAATACATGCAAATCATAATCTTATCTATTTATTATTTATTACGATGGACAAACATGATCAGTCCACGATTACATACAGAACTAACCGTCCGAAGTTCTACTCTACATGTTATAGCATGTTCTTGAAAATTATAACCATGTTAGATGAAATCATTTGACTTTGTCTTTATTAATTAGGTGGTGGAACAATTTAGGGCTAGCAAACAAGTTAAGCTTCAGCAGAGACAGACTGATGGAATGCTTCTTTTGGTCTGTTGGAATGGTATCTGAAGCTCAATTAAGTTCATGTCGCAAAGGACTAACAAAAGTAGCCTCATTCATTACCACCATTGATGATGTATATGATGTTCATGGTACCCTAGAGGAATTGGAGCTATTTACGGATGCTGTTGAGAGGTCAGTATTAGCTATACAGAATCTTCTACTACTAGTTTATTTAACTCCGTTAGTGGCTCGACACTCCGATTTGGCTGCGTGTAAAAGTGTTTTCCAATATACGTTTGGATTTTTTAAAAAAAAACATCAAATTGATGATTACCTTTCTGGATTATTTGGATGATTTTGATATAAAGATGTCACAACTATCGAAAAATACATCAATAATCATCAAGTTGATGTGTTTTCAGCACGAGCGTACTGTATTTTAGTATTTTTGGGTAATAATGCGTTTTCTTGAAATTTTGTATTATGTCATATCAGATGGGATGTAGCTGCCGTAAGAAATCTTCCAGACTACATGAAGTTGTGCTTTCTAGCACTTTACAACACTGTTAATGAGATGGCCTATGACCATCTCAATGAGAAAGGAGACGACATCATTCCATACCTAGCAAAAGCTGTAAGTAATTCATTTAATTCTTTAATTAATGTAATTATATCTACAATTATAAACTTAATTGAATAAATTGTGTGGAAAATTAATGTTACAGTGGGCTGATTTATGCAAAGCATTTCTACAAGAAGCAAAGTGGACCTACAACAGAAGCACACCATCTTATAAAGATTATCTTGAAAATGGATGGCGATCTGTGTCTGGAACTGTTTTACTTGTTCATGCTTATTTCTTGCTGGGCCAAAACATATCAGAGGATGCACTTGATTGCTTAATAAACTACCACGAATTCCTACGTTGGCCATCCATTATATTCCGATTGTGCAATGATTTGGGCTCATCATCGGTATGTCAAGTAGGTTAATATATAGTCTTATGAATTTAAATATTTGGGCTCGTCATCGTTATGTCCAGTAGGTTAATATATGGTCTAATAAATATAAATATTTGGGCTCGTCATCGGTATGTACAGTAGGTTGATATATGGTCTTATGAGTTTAAATTTTGTTATCTTTTATATATATATATATATATATATATATATATATATATATGTCTACTAATTAAATTTAAAGTACGTTGGTATGATTTTTGTTTTATGTTAAATTTAAATAAAAAATGTTACAATACATAACGATCATTGTATTGTATAATGTTTTCAGAGCATCTATTCTTTTCATTTAATATTGTAAGAGTTTAATTGTTGTTTCACGTGAATAATGACAATATATTTTTTTAAAAAAATGTTTTTTCAACAAAACAATCCAAAACAAATAATTTTTTTTTTTAGTTCTTAAATATTTGAAAACAAAAAATAGAAAATGAAAACACGAATGATATCAAACAACACCTAAATTTTATCTCTATAAGCTAACGATATGTTCTATAAATTTATTTTTTCAGGCTGAGGTGATGAGAGGCGAAACAACAAATGCAATATCTTGTTATATACAAGAAACTGGCGTTTCAGAGAAGGAAGCACGTGATCACATAAATAAATTGATTGATGAAACGTGGAAGAAGATGAACAAATATGAATTTGATAAGAGTATTCCTTTTGCTAAACCTTTTATGAAAACAGCTATTAATCTTGCAAGGATTTCCCATTGCACGTACCAGCATGGGGATAGCCATGGAGCTCCAGATGCCAGATCAAAGGACAGAATTATGTCATTGATAATTGAGCCCATTGCCATTATGGACAGATGAATAATCCTTGTCAAGTCTCTGCAGGGAACCTCAAGATGTTAAGCTAAAGCCCAAAGGGGTAGAGGTTAAAAAATCCTTTAGGTTGAAAATAAATGGGCTTCTATAAGGTTGCATTGTTGGGCTAAAGCCCAAAGGAGTAGAGGTTAAAAACCCTGTAGGTGGAAAATAAATGGGCTTATAGAAGGTTGCATTGTTGGGCCTATTAGAGCTTGCAAAAAGCTTATTTGACTTTTGGTCGGGACAGTGTGAGGAACCCCCCCCCCTCCCTCCTCCTCTTTTCTTAGCATGGGTAAACATGCAAGTTATCATCTCAGTTTCTTTGTAAAAATAAATAATAATAATAAAATCATCATTTCATGAAAATGAACTTCCTTCCTATTGCATTTCTTCCATCCTAAACAAACAACATTTTGTTTTTGAGCCCTTGCTTAGAAGAGTGCAAAATCAGCTAGTGCTTAGTGGGTTAGACAAGAGCCTTTGTTAAGTTGGACCGAAGTAGGAGTTGAACTAGGCCCATTTCTTTCTCTCCCGTGAACCCATTAAAATTAGGGACCAACTTAATCATTATGATTACCACATAGAGACAAAATTTTAAGGTTCTTATCATAGTAGTAACATTAAACTTACCAAAATCATGAAGGCAACTTTCTCCTTTGAATAGTTTAATTTGACCACAGGAGCTTTTTCTTCTCTTGTCCTAAAGTACGTGGTAGTTAACTGGAGAGACTGGTGGCAGCATCTAAACAGCATTGAAAATAGCACCTCAAAAAATTGAAATACTCCCTCCCCATGAGATAAAATATTGAACGAACTTATACTCCTATATATATATATAAGCAAAATCTATGTGCATAGATCTAGGAATAACTTGCAAATTAAGAAGAGTAGCGTCTAAGGGAAACTCTTCTAATTAAGCTTCTGTTTCTGTCATTAATGTTCTCTTGGAGACAGCAAATTATAATGCACAGTTTAATCAAACCCATATCTATAATCACTCATTTTCTCCCAAGAGCTGCAAGCCCAAGATCACATACGTAAAGTCATGGTCATTTATAATCAACTTAATTTCATATGGATTGAAATATTCTTTTGTCTAGTAGTTTCTCATTTGCTACGGCACAAACACATGCATACGACTTTGTGTTTTTTGCATGTTCTAGGTGATCAAATTAAACACAAACTTGTGTTGTAAGGTAATTTTTTTTTCTTTTTTTCTTTTTTCTTAAGGTTAGGATGCTTAATTTGATCTCATTTACTCTTGGAAGCAGTACATATAAAATAAATTTACTAATTAAACCAATGAGGGCGCAAAGATTGCATCATAAGAACATTCATTAATTAATTATTAATTAAGAAAAAGCAATTAAGAGCATAATTGAGATCATAATTTAGGTCACCAAGCATGTTGTAGGAATTCATATCCTGCCAAATTATAGAGAATGAGAAGAACCACAGCTTATATACCGACCGGTAGTAATAATTATGTAGGTTGGTAAGAGATTGGACCACAAAAAGAGCTGTTTTTTTTTTTTTTTTTTTTGCCTAGTCGAATTATGGAATTATGGACCTTTATTGATATTACCACTTGAGAGAGGCACAACCTTGCACCCCGCAGCCTGTAGTCTTAATTAGCCCTAATGCAACTAGTGGACCATTTTTGGTACAGTGGATGAGATTGACAATGGCAGTAATAAAGGACATCCCTAACAAAATTTTGCATTCAATTAGTACTATATATATATATATATATATATATATATATATATATATATATATATTAAGGCTAAATGGGTCTAATAACTCATTTAAAATTAATTAAGTTCATGAACTTTAAATTTAGCTTTGGGAATCCTTGAATTTTTTTTTTTTAATTTAGTCCTCTAATATTTTTAGCTATCATTCTCTCCTTTAAAAAAATTCAATTATTGTTATTTTGAGCTGAAATTTTACACATGTAAAAAAAAATAAAAAAAATAAAAATAAAAAATAAAAATCCAATCAATGTTTTAGAAAATTCAAAAAAAAATTAAAATTGAAAATCATATTTTTTATTTTTTTAAGAATAAAAATATAAAAATCATAAAAAATAGAAAATAACCCCAAAATGATCTCAAATTTTTAACAACCCCATGTAAATCTGATCAAATGATTTCCATCATATAGCTATTTGTATGATTCTTATTTTTTAAAAAAATAAATGACAGAAAGCTAAATGATGGGCTAAAACTCAAAAAAAAAAAAAAAAAATTATTAAAAGTTTAGAGATCCTAAAAATCAAACTTAGAGTTCAAATATTTAATTTCAAATGAATTAAAGTTCAGAAGATCAGTTTTGACCCATTTAGCCCAAAAAAAATGATGATGTTTTGATCTTATATATATATATATATATATATATATATCCTCTTAACTATAAGAATTTCATTATTAGACCATAGAATTTAATTCACTAAATATGTAATTATTTTATACTCTTTTTATATGTATGGTGCAACGCAATCTTTGTTTTTTAACTTTCTAATTCTTAATTTTGAACCAAAATATTTAAATAATAAAAAATATCCTACTAATAGTAATATATGGTATATATGTAAATTTTTAGATGTGAAAACATGTATAACTCGTCTAAGAATGAAAAAAATAAAATAAAATAATAATAATAATAGCTAGGTGTAAATTTATATGTTAAAATAAGAAATTAAAAACCTATAAATAAAAATAATGAATCGTAAATAGAATTCATAAATAACATGGGTAGTATTGTCTATTAATTACAATCCATCAAACTAGATATATATAATTAATCATTTGGAAACCTTTGGGGTTGGAACTAGGGGTGAGTATTCGGTTAAACGGTTCGGTTTTGTATGATTCGGTTCGGTTTTTGGTTAACCGAATTAAAAAAAATAAAAACCAAAATCGAACCGAAATAAATTCGGTAAATTCGGTTTGTAACCGAATTATTTCGGTTTGGTTTCGAAATATTTCGGTAAATTCGGTTTTTAACCAAAATATTTTGTTGTAAAAAAAAAATCATTACAAAGAGATATTTTGTACTAGCACTTAGTCCACTAGCCAATGAAGTAACATCTTGTTATCAATTAATCCTTTTTATAAACAATCATAAAGCTCTTGAAGATTTTAATTAAACTTTAATGAAAACGAGTCTAAATGTAATAAATTTACTCATACAAACACGTTGTATCACAATTAATTACACTATGTCACTTTCTTTTTTTACCCCAACGGTTCTCAAAATTTACTTCCCATCTGCGTGTTTCGGTTTCAACAAGAATGAAAATTGAAAAGTTAGGGATTTAGAAATTAGGAAATTTTTTACTATTTATTTCGGCTTTCGGTCGAAACCGAAATTTTTTTCTAAAAATCGAACCGAATCGAAATAATTTCGATTTTTTCGGTTCGGTTTTATATTGTATAATTTTATATTTAAAACCGAACCAAATTTCATAATTTGATTCGATTTTATTCGATTTTCGGTTAACCGAACCGTTTGCTCACCCCTACTTGGAACCTCATCATTGTACTTTCCAAGAATACACTGCTTTTGCTACTATGGGTGGTAGGGATTCAGCACGATAACTTTATGGCCATGCTCGTGCTAATGCTTATACAATAAAGAAGATCAGAGTTCAGAACACCACAATGAATTCATTATTTACTTTCCATGAAAAGAAAATATTTGTAGCTGGTCGGATTATCTTTTGAAGGCCCCACAGTTCTTATTTTGTTAATAATGTTATTGGCTTCCTTTGGTAGCATTTAGCATGTTTGGTTGAATGGTCATCAGAAGACCAAATAGTCGGCACCAACATTTGTTACGAGATTCGGTGCATTTATAATTTGTAGGGATAACATCTTGGGTATATGAAGTTTCTATCAGAAAAAGGATTAACTAATGGCATTAATTCACATTAAATCCTGTTGTGTCCGAAAGTGGAGCCGAAGGTATAAAAATAAATTCGGCAGGTCCTCTTTCTAACTCTTGGTTTCATTTATATATATATATATAAGAAAAATGAACTCGGAATCTCTTAGGAAAATTAACAATATTCTAATACCAGATAAGTTATAAATTCATTAAATATTTCTTTTACTTGTAAAGAAATATTGAGACCATTTGACCCAATCAATCCTCTAAATATATGGTAAATCTGGAAATCAAAGTTCGGATGGATGGCTTTTGAGCATGAAATTATTTCCTCCTAGTTTTGGTGGGAATTGATTTAGTACTGATCCACAAAATTCGAGCAATCCCTTAAATCTTAATCACTTAGCTAGGACCACCCCATGAATTTAACTTTTTGGTCATTACAGATGACTAGCATACTTTATCCGATTTTGCTGGTAAGGATGTTGTTCTTATCGACTGTTTCAAAATTAAGGTCACTTATTGTAGAGACAGTACAGCATTAATGGGGTTTTTTTTTTTTTTTTTTTTTTTTGAATTATTAAAAATTAAAAGGAAGATTTTAAACTGTGGCAGTATGTATCAGTACAAGCAAATGAAATTCAGTGCTTTATCAGTTCTTTGGAAGAAAATTGCATTATAATTACATCCATTGTTAATATCTTCTCAACCCCTTATATGAAATTTAATTTTTTTCATTTGAATATATCGATTTTTTTTTAAAAAAAATTACTAATCAAGTATTTTCATCTAGTTTCTGACAATTATTCTGTTATTTTATAACTTATCATTTTTCCTGAATTATAAAATTATAATTTTGGTCTTTTATTTTTAAAGAGAACTTTTCCTTCCAAATTATTTATTCTTTTTTATTTTTTTAATGTAAAGATAATTTAGATATTACATTACAAAAAGCAAACATTGTAAAATAATTTGAGAGTGAAAATTTCGTCTAAGAATATAAGAACAAAAATCGTAATTTAGTGATCTAGAGCAAGGAGCTAAGAACATGTTATCGCATAACAAAGCAATTGTCAGGAAGTTTAACAAACGATATTTGATTTACAGTTTTTTAAAAAATTAATGTATTCAATTGAGAAAACATTAAAAGTTTGTGACTTATAGTGCAATTATCTCATTCTTAGGTTGTATTTCATTGTCAGCTGGCTTTATAATATGGCTGCTTATTGCATTTAAATACACACTTTTAAGCCTCATCGTGAACTTTCAAAATTTCAGAACATCAGAACCACCAATTGATTTTGATGCCATGTAGTATGGTTTAAACATAATAAACTTCAGCATAGTGTGGTAGTTTTTTCTTTTCTTTTCTTGGCTATCGTTGTTGGAGTTAACAGTCATTTCCATCTCATAAAGATTTCATGATTTTGGGGATTCAGTCAAATAATAAATTGACCTTATTTTCAAGTTCTTCTCCAACTTTTGTTTTCATCAGTTGACTAATCATTGAACACAAAAGACAAGCTGATGTTGGGATCAAACAATTACATGAAACATCTTCACTGGTATGCAGTGTCAACAGCATTCCAGTTACGCCAGGATGCTTGGCAATTGGCATAAACTTGCAAGAGCTCCAAAGGGGACCAAAACGAAGGCAGAAAGGGCAACCCTTTTGCCATTGAACTAGACGGACATAAGGGCTTATATATGTGGCTAGTTCCAACTCAAATAATCTAACATCAAACATGCTTAAAGCTTTTGAGTTTCCCCACGAAATTTCCCTTCATGCTCATGCACTTTGGCAACTTGCATTATAATTTTTCTCAGTACGAGGGTGACAGTGAAATGGACATGACCTTGTGGACTTGTTTTCCACTCAACAATACAGAGACTGCTCATGACAAAGCATAAAAGTTTTCTGCCTTTTTTCTGTGAACTGTACAGCCAAGATCTCGAATCCCCACATTAAGCAAATACTCTTGGTCACCTTTAACCATGCAGAAAAGAAAGAAAAACTGCTGCAAACACCACGAAAAAGAAAGGGAAAAAAAACCTCATGCTATACAAATGAAAGATATATTAGATATTTTAATATTGAGCAGAAATTCCTATCATGAACATAGCTTGGGTAAGGATCTGGGAGTACTATGGCTTGATAATCTTGACTTCATCATTTTTGTCATCTGCGTTTGCATTTTCATGCATACTTTTTCCAATTCCATCACCCTCCATTGCATTCCTTGCAAATGTGCTTTAAGTTTCTCATTGCCATTTGGAAGGTCAAGTTCCCCCGCATAGAGCACAATTTGTTCACCGTCTTCATTTCTCTTTCCCTTGCTTCCAATTTCACTAACACCAGAAGATGAATCAATATAGCATTTCGTTTTGTCTGTGGCTTTGAGTAAGCTTTTCAGCTTGACTTGCTGAGACATGAGAGCTTGGACTGCACTTTTTGATGGAAACTTTTTGTTCTGAGAAAGGTGAATGCAAGCTTCAGCTGAGAACTTCTCATAATTCAATGCACAGCATATCTTTATCTTTTCTTCTTCTGATAATGCAGTATGCACCTAAGTGAAATTTATATAGTAAGATCATAAGTGAAATTGACATTTAATAATAGCATAGCAAAATATGTTGACTTCACCACACGTTATCCCAAATAAAAATATATACCAATACAGGATTCAATAAGCTATAGAAATTCCAATTCAAATGACATGAAATATGTGAGATCAAAGGACTACCTGCAGATACATGTCTATGGCATGGTAGATTCCGTTGTATGAATCTCTGGCAGAATCTGGCAGGGCCATGGTTAGGGCCAGGAACTTAGAAGGCTTTAGACAAGGATCTGGGGCTACTTCTGCTATATACAAGTCCATCAAGCTAGCAACTTTTCTCAATTGCGTTGGAGACACTTGACTGATTCCTCCGTGCAGAAATGCTTTCAAGAACCTTAGAACAAGATTCACATTATACAAGTAATTCATCCCATATGGAGATGGAATAAGCAGATTATCTAGAGTTGCTTGATCCATCTGGGAACCTATCATACTCTCCAATTTGGTCCTTCTACATTTGCTTATGTTCAAAGTCAAAGCAACTCGAAGAATCCAAAATAAACTCTTGAATGAAACAGAGTTCCAATCCAGAATATAAATCATATCTATTACAGTTTCCACAATTTTACGCTTCTCGTCAGACTTGCCAGTATAGCATTTTGATTTCTGGTAATAAAAGAGAAATTTACTAATGATAACGTGATCAAACTTCTGCAAGACCATGGATTTGATCACCATTTCAACCAAATTAGTGCTCAAAACCAAAAGATCCTCAAACCACCAAGTTGCTCGAGAGAAGCTATTCTTCAAACTCTCGGTGCTTCTAGTGTCACATGAAAACCGAACTCCAGAGCTATCTGGAGAAGAAATAGATGGACATGGGCTAGGCTCGCTAGAACTGGCCATCCTTCCAACAAGAGAATCCACACATTTTTCAAGAATAGCTGAAGAATTCGGAAATGGAAGTAAATCTTGGCATTGCTTTATAGCGATCAATAGGTCAGACCATGCCCAATAGTTCATCTCTTTAAGTGATTTCTCAGTCTCTTCCAGTAAATTATGAGTTCCAGATACAGAATTGTTCATCTCCATGAACTGTGCAGCAGAATGTAGGAAGGAAATATTTGAAGGAGTTATGTCAATTCCACCATTATTGTAGCAGAACCTTGACATGAGTTCAAAACTTTCTGCCCCACCAGGAAAGTCATTGAATATCACTTTCAAATTTCTTGCACTACCTGTTGATTTACCAAATAATTTGCTCAATCTGCCACAATATGCAGCAATGATCTTCTGCAAATATCCATAAAAATAAAATACATTAGTGAGAATGCAAATCTTAATCTAATGAATTTACCAAGAACTAAAACATACAAGAGAAAAAAAGCTAAAACCTTGTTTTTGCCGCTGAGAAAGGTAATTTATTTAATGAAGTTAAGAAAAAGCAGCAAAGGTTCCATCTAGCTAGATAACCAACTATCAGTGACTGAGGAAATGTGCAATAAAGGCAAGCCTCAATTACTTTCATAACAGAACATTTCAGTGCCTTAAAAACCCACCAAAAGAATGAACTTATTGAATTTAGCAAAACACCAAAAAAAGGAGATTAAAGTGGCATACAGGGCTAAAATCAGCAAAAGAAAGGTGTGAGGTCGTTATAGGCAATAAATTTTGCATGGGCAGATCAAAAGAAAAGATGTCTGCCAAACAGCCCATCAAACAAGGGTAATAAACAGTATATTAAATTCCATGAAAGCAACTTATAAGTCCTTCTCAAAAGGAGTGAATACAAACAAATAAAGGTATGAAGCATCAAACCACCATAACAACAGCAATAAATGGCAGAACTAAATCAGAAGACAATGCACTACAATATGGTGTTTAACAAGTACTCAAAATAGAAGAGAAGAAGAAGCTAGTATGAGAGAAACCATGCCCCACGACACTCTAATGTAGGTGTAAATTTAATGAAGTTGCAGCACAACCATAGAAATCATTGAGATAATGTACCAAAACAGATGAAAATAAAAAATCACAACAGCAGAATAAATGCAAAAACCGCGGAAGTACTCAAATTCCACATTAACAGTCACAAGGAAAAAAAAATAAAAACTTGTGAATATACATTAAAGCAAACTCATGAAATTAGATTAGCACATCTGGGAAGGGAACATCATCGAGTAAAATTAAGCGAAAAAACAAAATTAGAGAGAAAATATTAATTAAAGTGCACTAAAAATAAAAACTTTAAAGCTCTAAAGAAGCAAAGTTACAAGGAAAGGAAAATAGACCATAAAGATTTTTTTTTTTTTTTTTACCTTGTGCACCAGGAAAGTCTCTTCACCATTGACATCCACTTCAAGATCACAGCAAACTGCCATGACCCAACTGAACAAACTAAAAACCCACCTCAATAAAGGCTCTATCTTTTTTTTTGTTTCTTTTTAGTTTTTGTTCTCGGAACACGTATCATAAGAGAATAGATTAACAAGCCAAGAGAGAAAGAGATGTGAGAAGGCCAAATTAATTGATAGTGAAGAAGAGAATATTAAGCCATATTCTTGAGATGGGAAAGAAGACAAACATAAAGAGGTAACTGACTGAAGTTGGTTTGACAAAATGGGGTGGCTAGTCACTTGCTTGCATTTGCATATAAGCAAGCAAACGTGGTTTATCAACTGAGTTTAGGGAGACACAACTCAGAGAAGTGCAAGAAGCAAACAAGCTGTGCAAAGACACGAAAGAGATATATACTGGCCATATTATAAGACTAGAGAGAGAGAGAGAGAGAGAGGGGGGTACAGGGAGAGAGAACAAAACAGTTGGTGGTATGCGTGTGACCACTAGTCGCTAACCCCAACCTGACATTCCTGTAAAAAATATTTGGGTACTAAATAAAAAAATTAACATTTGGTAAACAACCTCTAATTAAAAAAGAAAAAAGATAGCAAGTATTATATTCATGAAAATGGTCATATTCCTGGGAAGAAGAAGAACCTAAGCTTAGGATTGAAGCTTTTTTGCTGGCTTTGCTTCTTTCTTATTCTATCTCACTATATATCTCCCAGGTCTCCCTTTTTTATGATTTAGTCGGGAACAAAGAACTGGGTGTTGGATAACGCAACGAGGATTACTTAGTTTCTTATATTGTGTCTACCTTTGGACCTTTTTCTTGAGAGGGTGTGAGGGTGGACTCAACTCCATTTCTTCCATTGGTCCCCCAGAGCCAGAAGTGGTCCCTCTGTGTACTCTATCCATGGCTTGTGTTGGTGGATTTTACCTGTTAATTTGTTTCCCATTAATTTCTGATGCTAATCTTTTGTGCATTATCCTACCAGGGATTTTAGTTCTAAGATTAACGTGCTTAATTATGAGATAATTAGATGGCTATAACAAGTAATTGGATTTGGATGGTCTGGTGGTATATTTATAAACTCTGAATAAATAATTGGTCTTATTAACTTAACTTAGAATTTAGTTCATTTCGTTCAAAAAGATCAAAATATGACAAAAATCAATGTTTTGTTACACAATTCCAGGTTTTATTTTGAAAATAGGCAGCTATAAAAAACTAAATCGCAAACTCCTGCTCTTTTTAGTTTTTTCTACAGCATTACAAATGAAATGGTAACAAAATCTGTCGAATTTTGGGTTCCTGGAATTTTATTTCCCACTTACCAGTTTTAACGTTCAAATCGAGCTTAATTACAGTGATTTGATCTCAATTTGATGATTTGATCTTAATTTGATATGTTCACAAATATAAACAAAATTAATTAATTAAAATGTTAAAAAATAGAAAAAAAATATATAAAAATAGAAATGATTTTTTTTTTATCAATTTTAACAAAATATTCATATTCTAAAATTACGTACCCTTATCCTCGAAACTAATAATTAAAAAAAAAAAAAACTCTATCATTTTGGATGGACACAAGTTGTACGGATAACAATTGTGTAGAACATTCAGCACGAATCGTGTCTTAGATAATGCTATATATTTATCCCTAAGTAGCTATTAACTTAACTTTGATCAGGTTTTTAATAATGTCGATTTTCAATAGGATGAAACAAATTGATGCATCTCATCACATTGTAATGTTAGGATTTAATTGCATGTTTTAAGTAACGTAAAAAGGTTATAGGCATTTTTCTACGACATAAAAATTATTAGATATATCAGAAATTATGATACATTTTTTTATTAAAATATTAAATTTATTATGAAAATAATTTATAATTCCCATTCTTTAATGAGATGAAAAATACAATTCCCGGTATAGACCGAAGAATTCATCCTTACGTCAACAACATGGAACCATGAAGCCAGCACGGCACAACTGTTCCGTTCCGTTACCATTGAACTTTCTTTGAGGATAAACGAAACGGGAGTCACGTGATTCATAACCGTGAAAGACATTTTTACCCCTACACAAACCTCTTATTTGCGGCGTCCATAAACTTTTTGGGATCCCAGTAATTATGACAAGATGATACGTTAGCCCAGTCAACTTTCAAGGATGGGTGGCATTTCTGATATTTTGTAGGAATAGTTATGGTAATTAATTTATCAGAGACAGAACTTGATTAATCTTTTGGAACTCATGATGACACGTCAAAAAAAAAAAAAAAAATTGATATTGGAATCATTAGCCAATCATCTCCCTTCGGAATACCAAAAGAAAAGTAAACCGACGTCGTTCATCTGCAAAAAGTATCAATTATTCATGGCCTTTTAACTCTCTCTCTCTCTCTATATATATATTAAAGGATACTAGTAATCCTCTTTTTCCAAGAATAATCATGCTTGTAACTATAAACAAATTGCATTAAAAGATATAAATTATGCAATGATGTGTTACTTGCATTTTTTTCCTCTATAATTTCTATATTAGCAAAAGATTAGTGCAGGTTTGTTGGATCTATATTATATTACTCATATTTATATAAAGTTTAAATAAATTTTTTTAGGAAAGTTGCACTAATTATAAAAAAAATAATTAAATGAATGTTATATATATATATAGTTTTTTAAAATAATTTTCACATTAATTGAAATTAAATCTATTATTTTTAGATTAAATTAATATCAAAACATGTTTAGTCTTGGATCAATCACTAGACTCCTTTAAAAACCACATTAGCCAAATTTTGGTACAATAAAAAAATAATAATGACTAATTATTTGTGAATGAATGAGTTTTCAGACTTACATAGACATGATAGAATGACAAAATTGACGAGTTAAATGAACACTTTTAAATTATTTAAGGATTTAATTAGAGGTTAACTTTTTTTTCTTTTTGTTTATATAATAGTTGTAGTCATCATTCATCCCAAAATCCACTTCGTCTTTTTTGTTTTAAAGTTTAAACTTGAAATCTTATATTAGAATTTTTAAATTTTAGTTGTTGGACTGTTTCATACGAAACATTTAAAGTCAATATAAACTAGTGAGTTTCCTGTCTTAATAGCCAAAAATCATGATATTGTTATAAAAAAGGAAAATTAATCACGATGTTGATTTGCTTAATTTGTTTGCAACATCCCATAGGCAATCCTGGTTCAATGCATATATGAGTACAAGTAATTGCTTAAACATTCAAGTAGAAAAGAATCATGCATATCAAATCATGGGTCCAAATTCCAATTTAAATAAATTCAAATTAACTAAATCAATTATAGATTCTTTTTGTCAATTTCTTTTTAGCTGGGATTTCTATAGATTTGCAGATTTAATTATATATGTTAAATCATAATTGTGGGATCTTGATGTTACCCTTTGCAAAGACAAAACCAATTATTTATTTGCCAGAGGAAGTGACAACGAAAAGAACCGTAAAAAAAGAGCCTTTCTCTTTTGTCTTCGATTGATCCCATCTATGTAGTTTCAAATTTCAAACACAATTTTTGAACCTAAGCATTGTATCTGGTCAAAGCAAATAAATTTGACTGATCAATAATACATAGTTTTCATCATTATGAACACCATAATCAACAATTATACGAAATAAATATATAAATTCATCATACACATAAATCTTAGAACTTTATAATTTTCACATAATTTAAAAGAAAACATAAATTAATTCATGTTTAGACATTGATTCATGCTTAACCTTAATCAATTCTATGAAGTAGATAATATGTAAAAAATGGTTTCTCTCTTTTGATTTCTCACTTAATGATGAAAATTAAAATCCTTAATTTTTCTTTTGTTATGTAATTTTCATTTATAGCCAAAGAGAGGACCAACTCCTCCTTTTATAGTCCCAAGTCTACTATCAAGACTTGTACGTGTACTATTATTAATTATATGTATCATAATTAATGAAATACATGTATCATAATTTATTAGGTATATTTTAATTATACATGTATTATTATTAATTATATGTATCTTATTTAATTAGATACACTTTAACTATACATATATCATAATCAATCCATGTATCATAATTACATATATACATACATCAAATTAATATATGTATCTTAATTAATTAAGTACACTTTAAATATAATGTACAATATGGTTCGCATTCAATTATATAATTTCGATACATACATTATGTATCATTCTAGATACATTTATCATGTGGGCCACAATTAATCTCACATTCTCCCACCTAGCCCATATGACATTTACTTTATGATTTAACATAATGTATTAAATTGATGATCATCATTATAATGTTATATCAATATTAAATTGAAATATTAATGCAAGTCATGGCGATTGTATGTAATTTCCTCAATATAGTCTCTTTCATGTACCACAACACTAAGTTTCAACTTAACATGATCTTTAATGAGGTTAATAATGGTTCAACTTTAATGTCTTTATTGTAAGACTACTTCTAATAGCATTATTCTAAAGCAATTATGCATGCAAAAGAGAAAACGAGAAAATATCGAAACATATAAATGAGCTCGAGTGTAAAATCATAAACTTAATAAGAACTTAATACAATATTACTAATGATGCCTAATAATGTCCATCATTTCAACATGCTTATTAAATATTTTGGGTGTCAATACTTTAGTCAAAGGATCTACAATCATAAGATTGGTTCTAATATGCTCAATTAACACTCTTTGTTTTTGAACTTCTTCTTTAAATGGCAAAGTATTTGATTTTCATATGTTTAGCACCCTTAGAATACTTGTCGTTTTTAGAGAAGAAAACTACTATGGAGTTATCATAATAAATTTTCAATGGCTTGGCTATAATGTCGACAACCCTAAGTTCGAAAATAAAGCTCCACAACCATAATCGATGAATGGTGGCCTTAAAGCATGCCATAAACTTAGCTTCCATAGTGGATGCAACAATGACGAGCTCGCTTCACACTCTTCCATAAAATTTTTCCTCCGGATAAAAAGAACAAGTAACCAAATATGGATTTTCTTGAATCAACACATCGAGCAAAATCTGAATCTAAATATCCAATTACCTTAAGACAATCGGATCTTTTAAAAGTGAATATGTGATCCTTCATTCCTTGTAAGTATCCGAGAACTTTCTTTACAACTTTTCACTAATCCGTATCGGGATTACTTTGATATATACCCAACATTCGATAGCAAAATCGATGTCCGGCCTAGTACAAGTCTAGGCATACATTAAAGTTTCAACATGACATGCATAAGGAACATTTTTCATTTACTCTCATTCCAATTTATTTTTTGGACACTATATAAGGTTAAATTTATCTCCCTTCGAATTGGAACCATCCATGCTGAGCATTTATCCATTTTAAATCTCTCTAGAATTTTATTAATATAGGCTTTACGAGGCAATCCTAACAATTCTTGTCATCTATCATGAAATATTTCTATTCCAATCACATAGGTTGTCTCTCTCATATCTTTCATTTCAAAATTCCTATAGAGATACTTTTTGGTTTCGTGTAACAAACCAAGGTCATTAGCAACAAGTAAAATATCATTAACATATAGAATTAGAAAAATAAACTTGCTCTCATTGATCTTCATACATATACACCGATGAACAATGTTTTCTTAAAATCCAAAAGAAGCGATAATATCATTAAACTTATGATACCACTATTTAGAAGCTTGTTTAAGTTCATATATTAATTTCTTTAATTTACACACCATTTGTTCCTTTTCTTTAATTGAAAAGCCCTTATATTGGTCTATATAAACTTCTTCTTCCAAATTTTCATTAAGAAAAATAGTTTTAACATACATTTAGTGTAACTCCAAATCATAATGAGCCACCAAAGCCATGA